TCCCACACATCTGCGGGCAAAATCTGGCGGAAGTGATCCGCCACCGAGCAAAAAGCCTGTAAATACCGCATTAAACAAAGGGCCAGGGATTTCACATATCTGGTGGCAACATCTGGCGGAAGTGAGCAATCGGTACTTCTGTCAGATTTTGCCAACAGATATGTGAAATCCCTGGCCCTTTGTTTAATGCGGTATTTACAGGCTTTTTGCTTGGTGGCGGATCACTTCCGCCAGATTTTGCCCGCAGATGTGTGGGATCCCTGGCCGTTTTTTGAACGCGGATGGGAAGAGACAGCAGGCTCCAAACCGCCGTGTCTCACCCACCGCTTCAAGGGCTAGGGATCCCACACATCTGCGGGCAAAATCTGGCGGAAGCGATCCGCCACCGAGCAAAAAGCCTGTAAATACCGCATTAAACAAAGGGCCAGGGATTTCACATATCTGGTGGCAAAATCTGGCGGAAGTGAGCAATCGGTACTTCTGTCAGATTTTGCCAACAGATATGTGAAATCCCTGGCCCTTTGTTTAATGCGGTATTTACAGGCTTTTTGCTTGGTGGCGGATCACTTCCGCCAGATTTTGCCCGCAGATGTGTGGGATCCCTGGCCGTTTTTTGAACGCGGATGGGAAGAGACAGCAGGCTCCAAACCGCCGTGTCTCACCCACCACTTCAAGGGCTAGGGATCCCACACATCTGCAGGCAAAATCTGGCGGAAGCGATCCGCCACCGAGCAAAAAGCCTGTAAATACCGCATTAAACAAAGGGCCAGGGATTTCACATATCTGGTGGCAAAATCTGGCGGAAGTGAGCAATCGGTACTTCTGTCAGATTTTGCCAACAGATATGTGAAATCCCTGGCCCTTTGTTTAATGCGGTATTTACAGGCTTTTGCTTGGTGGCGGATCACTTCCGCCAGATTTTGCCCGCAGATGTGTGGGATCCCTGGCCGTTTTTTGAACGCGGCATTTACAGGCTTTCTGCTCGGTCGCGGCTCGCAGGGATTATACACCCTTGCCCCCACTCCACCCTCCCGCCCCCTTCATACCTCACTACCCACCCCCCTATCTCAGCCCCTTGCCTTGCACCCCATCACCACCCACCACCCACCACCTATTATCCACCACCCGGCACCCCTCACCCGCCACGCCCACCACCCACCACACCACCCATCACCCACCACCCACCACCACCACTACCCAGCACCCGCCAGCCACCACTACCCACTACCCACCACCCACCACCTACTCCTCCCCATCCCACCCCCAGCCCGCCCCAGCTCCTGCCCCCTGCCCCTAGATTCCGACCCAGCCCAGCTGCGTTCGCCCCCCCAGCCTCAGCCCCAGCCCCTAGGCCCCCTTGGGGGGGCTGGGGGCTGGGGCTAGGACTGGGTGGGGCCGGGGCCTTGGAGGCTGGGGCTGGGGTTGGGGGCAGGCTGGGCTGGGGTCGGAGGCTGGGGGCTGGGGCTGGGGTCGGAGGCTGGGGGGCTGGGGCTGGGGCTGGAGCTGAAGATTTAAATTTTTAAAATTCTTTAAATTCTTTAAATTCTTTAAATTTTGAAATCCGGACGATTTCAGAATTTAAAGAATTTAAAGGATTTACCTCCTTTAAATTTTTAAATTCTTTAAATTTTTAATTCCGGACGATTTCAGAATTTAAAGGATTTACCTCCTTTAAATTTTTAAATTCTTTAAATTTTTAATTCCGGACGATTTCAGAATTTAAAGAATTTAAAGAATTTTAAACATTTAATTCCGTGGGCTGGGGTCGAAGGCTGGGGGGCTGGGGCTGGAGCTGGAGCTGGACATTTAAATTTTTAAAATTCTTTAAATTCTTTAAATTCTTTAAATTTTTAATTCCGGACGATTTCAGAATTTAAAGAATTTAAAGGATTTACCTCCTTTAAATTTTTTAAATTCTTTAAATTTTTAATTCCGGACGATTTCAGAATTTAAAGGATTTACCTCCTTTAAATTTTTTAAATTCTTTAAATTTTTAATTCCGGACAATTTCAGAATTTAAAGAATTTAAAGAATTTTAAAAATTTAATTCCGTGGGCTGGGGTCAAAGGCTGGGGGGCTGGGGCTGGAGCTGGAGCTGGACATTTAAATTTTTAAAATTCTTTAAATTCTTTAAATTCTTTAAATTTTTAATTCCGGACGATTTCAGAATTTAAAGAATTTAAAGGATTTACCCTTTAAATTTTTTAAATTCTTTAAATTTTTTAATTCCGGACGATTTCAGAATTTAAAGGATTACTTTAAATTTTTAAATCCTTTAAATTTTTAATTCCGGACGATTTCAGAATTTAAAGGATTTACCTCCTTTCAATTTTTTTAAAATTCTTTAAATTTTTAATTCCGGACGATTTCAGAATTTAAAGAAATTTTATGGAAGTTAAAAAATTTAATCCGTGGGCTGGGGTCGAACGGCTGGGGTGCTGGGAGCTGGGCTGGGGGGGGACATAAATTTTGTTAGAAATCTTAAATTCTTAATTCTGTAAATTCTTTAAAATTTTTAATTACGGACCAATTTCAAAATTTAAAGAATTTAAAGGATTTACCACCTTTAAATTTTTTAAATTTTTTAAATTTTTAATTCCGGACGATTTCAGAATTTAAAGGATTTACCTCCTTTAAATTTTTTAAATTCTTTAAATTTTTAATTCCGGACGATTTCAGAATTTAAAGAATTTAAAGAATTTTAAACATTTAATTCCGTGGGCTGGGGTCGAAGGCTGGGGGGCTGGGGCTGGAGCTGGAGCTGGAAATTTAAATTTTTAAAATTCTTTAAATTCTTTAAATTCTTTAAATTTTTAATTCCGGACGATTTCAGAATTTAAAGAATTTAAAGGATTTACCTCCTTTAAATTTTTTAAATTCTTTAAATTTTTAATTCCGGACGATTTCAGAATTTAAAGGATTTCCCTCCTTTAAATTTTTTAAATTCTTTAAATTTTTAATTCCGGACAATTTCAGAATTTAAAGAATTTAAAGAATTTTAAAAATTTAATTCCGTGGGCTGGGGTCAAAGGCTGGGGGGCTGGGGCTGGAGCTGGAGCTGGACATTTAAATTTTTAAAATTCTTTAAATTCTTTAAATTCTTTAAATTTTTAATTCCGGACGATTTCAGAATTTAAAGAATTTAAAGGATGTACTTCCTTTAAATTTTTTAAATTCTTTAAATTTTTAATTCCGGACGATTTCAGAATTTAAAGGATTTACTACATTTATTTTTTTAAAATTCTTTAAATTTTTAATTCCGGACGATTTCAGAATTTAAAGGATTTACCTCCTTTAATTCTTTTAAATTCTTTAAATTTTTAATTCCGGACGATTTCAGAATTTAAAGAATTTAAGGAATTTAAAAAATTTAATCCCGTGGGCTGGGGTCGAAGGCTGGGGGGCTGGAGCTGGAGCTGGACATTTAAATTTTTAAAATTCTTTAAATTCTTTAATTTTTTAGTTCCGGACGATTTCAAAATTTAAAGAATTTAAAGGATTTACTCCCTTTAATTTTTAAAATTCTTTAAATTTTTAATTCCGGACGATTTCAGAATTTAAAGGATTTACCCCCTTTAAATTTTTTAAATTCTTTAAATTTTTAATTCCGGACGATTTCAGAATTTAAAGGATTTACCTCCTTCAAATTTTTTAAATCCTTTAAATTTTTAATTCCGGACGTTTTCAGAATTTAAAGAATTTAAAGAATTTTAAAAATTTAATTCCGTGGGCTGGGGTCGAAGGCTGGGGGGCTGGGGCTGGAGCTGGAGCTGGACATTTAAATTTTTAAAATTCTTTAAATTCTTTAAATTTTTAATTCCGGACGATTTCAGAATTTAAAGAATTTAAAGGATTTACCTCCTTTAAATTTTTTAAATTCTTAAATTTTTAATTCCGGACGATTTCAGAATTTAAAGGATTTCCCTCCTTTAAATTTTTTAAATTCTTTAAATTTTTAATTCCGGACGATTTCAGAATTTAAAGGATTTACTCCCTTTAAATTTTTTAAATTCTTTAAATTTTTAATTGCGTATATACACAGTATATATTAAGACACAGAGCAAGCCCTACGCCAAATAGGACCTAAAGGTCCTACGTACTTAGGGGTTTAGGGTTCAGGGTTTAGGGTTTCGGGTTAAGGTTCAGGGTCTAGGGTTTATGTTCAGGGTTGAGGGTGTAGGGTTGTAGGGATTCAGGCGTTTTCGGGTGGTAGGGATGCTTTTTTGGTGGATTTAGGTATATAGGGCTTTAGTTCAAGGAGTTTTCGGGGTTTTAGGGGTTTAAGAGGCTCCGGTCTCAGGGGTTTGGGGTTTAGGGCTCCTTAGTGTAGGGATTCTTTAGGTTTTTTAAAGCCCTTTAAAGCCCTGGGCCCTGAGCCCTAAAGCTTAAGCCCTAAACCCCGAAACCCTAAAGCCCCAAAGCCATTTAAAGCCCTTTAAAGCCATTTTAAGCTCTTTAAGCCCAAGGCTCCAGGCTCTGGAGACCTAAGGGTTTGAGATTTTTTAGGGGTTCAGGGCTTTAGGGCTGTTGGGTGCAGGGCTGGTTTCGGGTGACAGGAATTAGGGATAAGGGCACTTGCGGCCCAACCGTAAGGTCTTTCGACAAACCCAACCTTAAACCACCACAACTTTGTACACCCTGACCCTTAAGCCCTAAACCCTAAACCTGCACCCTAACCCTAAACCCTAAACCCTAAGCTCTAAACCCGGGCCTAACCCTTAAGCCATAAACCCTAAGCCCTAAACCGTAATCCCTTGCTTTCACCCTTAAGCAGGTCAAGATCCTGAGCACAAACCCCAGGCGCAATCGGGGTTTGTAGGAGTTTGTGAGTTCCTACAAGGATTTAGGGTTTAGGGTTTAGGGTTTGGGTTTAGGGTTTAGGGTTCAGAGTTTAGGTTTAGGGTTTAGAGTTTAGGTTTAGGGTTTAGGGTCGGTTCTACCAAGCGGCCTTCAGGCTCCAAGGCCCTGAGCCCTTTCAGCCTCCTCCGATCGACGCCGAGGCTCGCATCAGCCGGAGTCTGCACTGCCCCTCTGGGCATCCCATCCAGCGCAAGGGTGAGGGCCTGAAGTGGTATCAGGCCAGGCGGCAAAAGGCTCAGGGGTTCTGGGTTTAGGGTTCAGGTAAAACTACCTTAAATCATTGATACAACTACCTCAATTTTCATAGGGGTTCGAGGTCTGTGAATAGGATTTACGTAAGGTTTTGCGGGGTGAGTGTAGTGTCGAAAGCTCCAGGCCGATACGTCTTACCCGAAACACCAAGGCCGAGCCTTCTTGATGACGTGTCTCAGATAAACCCTAAACCTCAAACCCTAGCCCCTAAACCCTAAACCCTAGACCCTAGACCCGATGTAACAGAAAGCATGTATTTGTTCTTAGCCGTGTCATGACATCATGAGCAGGAGCTCTTGGGCTTTTGCAGGATTTTTGGGAGGGTTTTGGTGTTTTTTTTTTTGGGGGGGGTTAGGTGGGGTCTTGAGGATCTCCCTGGGTATCACGAGGTAGGGGTTATGACTTAAACAAGAGCTCGGAGTACTTTCTAGCGGTTTTCTTTTATAGTCGTCGTAATACCATCGTAATCATACTAGTACAGCCTCAACCCCTGCTTAGGATAGGGAGACTTCGGTTTGGGATTCAGAGTATAGGATTCAATAGCTAGGATGCCCAGTAGTGCCCTTATTCCCTTTTTGTAGTCCTAGGTTCCTTATAAAGTTACCCAATACCAAAAAGAGAGGCCTTTTTATTCTTAGGTTACTGGGTATCCTATAGATAGGGATTTGGGGTTTTGATCTATAGTCTTGGGGTGTAGGCTTCCTTTGGCACTTCACATAAATGAGTCTTGGGGGACACATGGGTTGGGGCTTGGTAGGTCCGGAGCCCTGGCCCAATGCCTTGCCCTTGAGGACGCGAAAACCTGCGACGCCTGCAAAAAGCCCATCTGCGCGAAATCAGACTACTGGCGCTGCACGAAAAACTGCAAGCAACCGGGATGCAGAGCAGAAGTGAATTTCTGATGATTTGATGTTAGAGTTATCCCCAGGGGGCTGACAACCGAAGCCACAAACTCAGGGTTCAGCTAGGGTTTTAAGATGATTGTAGGGAAGACTATACCTGCTGCAATGCTGAGGACAGCGGCAGAGATGCTAATTTCTCGCCTTCCCCTGATATTCTCTAGCCCCGTTCTTTCGGTCTGGTATTGATCGGTGGGACCCGAAGCCTGTGAAGCCTAAGCTGACCAGCCGTACCCGAGATAGCGAAGGTACAACGTTTGCCACCATTGCCCCTTGCCTGGCCACGAGGTGCTGAGGGGTTGTGGGTTGAGGGCACCGAATATCATTAACCTTAAACCCGAAACCGTAGACCCCAAACCCCAAGCCCCAAACCCTAAACCCTAAAACCCTAAACCCCTAAACCCTAAACCCCTAAACCCTAAACCCCTAAACCCTATAAACCCGATAATTCCTAAACCCCTAAACCCCTAAATCCCTAAAACCCTAAGCCCTCAACCTTCAACCCTACACCCCAAGCCCTCAAACCTAAGCCGGGTCGGAGCTCGGGGCTTCAAATTTAGAGTCTGCCTGGCGGGCTATACCATAGACCTCCGAATAATTGGGAATGCTGTAGTCTACGCTTCTCTCTGTAGTACTTCATCGAACTTGTCGAGTTTGGCATCGTTTACTTCAAGACCCTATATTAGTTCTACTCGCGAGTATACTGACCGAGTAGTAACCGTATAGACCCTTTTAAAGGGGCCTCTTTCTAATTTATGAAGGCACCGTATTTGGCCAGCCCGGACCTTACGGTTGATGATATAAATCCTGCATTACCCATAATAAGGGATATGTGGGAATTATGGTATATTCCTTATTATGGGTCATGCAGGATTTATATCCCTAAACCCTAAACCCCCTATAGATCCCTTAAAGGAGCCCCTTAAAGGTACCCTTATGGATCCCTTTAAAGGAACCCCCAGGATTTATATCATCAACAGTTATCAATTTCAAAGATGTGGCGATGTTGGAGGCTCATCAGTGCCGAGGTCCCTTCTGGTAGGTCTTGGGTTAGAGTTCAGGGTTTAGGGTTTAGGGTTTTAGGGTTTAGGGTTTAAGGTCTTAGGGTTTAGGGTTTAGGTTTTAGGGTTTTCTACAGGAGTTGTAAAGGGAACTCCAGAAAGTTGGAATATGGTTTCAGGGTAGGATCCCCTGTAATTTACCATAAAGGGGTTAGGATAATCATATTCCAACTTTCTGGCTTCTACTGTAGGACAACAAGGTTCGAATCGTACGCTTCTCTTCAGGGTTCAGGGTTTAGGGTTTGGATTCTATCTAGACCCCCGGTTTTGGAAGTCCTGCACAGATTTGCTGAGGGTGCTTCAAGGCCCTTTATCATGTGGCTTCTTGAAGGGTTCGCTATGGGGACCTTTTGCAGTAGTTCCGTCATGTAGCCGTCAGGCCATACCGCACACCCCCGATGTCATTCTTGTTTATGTTGAGGGATCCCTAAACCCTAAACCCTGTTCAAACCCTAAACCCTAAACCCTGTTCAAACCCTAAACCCTAAACCGTTTAAAGTTTTGGCGACCCTCACGCTGGGCTTCCAAAGATGAGTGCAGGTTGGTGGTTACCGGGGCTCTATTGGGTCAAGACAACCAGAATTCCATATGCTAAACCGCGACCCCAAGCTAGAGGTCGCGTAGTAGTACCCCTTTTTGCCTTTGGATTATTGAAGCGGAGAATAAGACAGAGGGCCCTCTTCTTGTTTTTCGGGCATCCTGGCAAAGCCCAGTAGGCCGAGCCCCCCAAGGTATGATTCTGAAAAACCCTAAACCCTAAACCGTGGCAGTATGAGGTTTTCAAGATGCTGGAAACAACGCGGCTCACTTGTTTGCCGAGCATTTCTCCGAAAGCCTTGCTAACACCAGCCAGGCTGGTCAGGGGACAGGGTTCAGGGTTTAGGGGTTTAGGGGTTTAGGGTTTAGGGGTTTGGGGATTTAGGGTTGAGGATTTAGGGTTTGGGGTTTAGGGCTTTCGGGTATGTGGTTGAAGGTTTGGGTATTATAAGGTTTCAAATTTGTCCTTAACGTAAGTTCCAAGCCACGCGGTTTTCGCATCGCTGACGAGAGTGTACTCTTCGGTGCTCGCCAAGAGCAAAGACGCGACGTATCCTCGGGTCATCATGGTTGGGAAGTGCTGCGGCGAGAGCAGTTTCAAAGAAGGCTTGGACGACGGGGACATCGTGCAAGTCCACGAAGACGGGACTGTCTTTTACAAGTGCTCGACATTGCTCGATGTCGATGGAATTCGCTTAAGACTTCAGGTACAACTGTTGATGGACAAAATCCTGCATTACCCTTTCTAAGGAATATACCATAGTTCCCATAGTTTAGAGTCCTTAGGGTCATGCAGGATTTTGTCCATCAGCAGTATGTATGGTGTCTAGACCCCAATGATTTGCTGTCTGGAAGTATGTGGATGCACGGGGCCGGGGTTGTAAATCTGACTGCCCACAGACGCGAAGCTTGCATACAGAGAGGCCCAAGATGGGTCCAGTTGGAAACATCCCCGTAGGGTTTAGGGTTTAGGGGTTTAGGGTTTAGGGTACAGACCCTAATCCCGAAGTTGCAACACACCAACATAGTTACGATCTCCCATCTCCAGCCTCCAACCTGAAGCCCACAGCCCCAATCCCTACCTCCCCGGCCCGAGACCTCGAAGCCACAAGCGCCCCGCTCCCTAAGCCCACCCTCTCAGGCCGAACTCATAGGAGCAGAAACGGATAAATATGAAGAATCAAGACCGGAATAATAAGGATCAAGATGGTTGTATAGGGTTTAGGCCCAAGTTTAGGCTTCTTTAGTTTGTGTAAGCATCTTGTTCTGCAGCGTGCCCCATGAATGCTTGTAGCCTGCTGCCAAATCGTCTTATCAAACATGGGTTCATCCCATGATCCGCCCGTCCATGCAACTACCCAAACAGCTGTTATGCCTAAGTCGCACCTCCAAAGCATCAACCCCTAAACTCTAAACCCTAATGCCATCAGTCAAAAAGCAGTGCAGTTGCAAGGTCTCCGCAAGACGTGGATTTCAAACTCCAAATTCCCAAAACTCCCACCTGAAACCTAGATCCCATACCCTAAAACTTAAACCCTGAACCCGACACCCTGCACCCTCGTTCCTGCATCCGAATCTACTTCCTGGACCCCAACTAGGGTCAAGAGCCGTGATTAGAGTTTAGGGTTTATTAGGAGCCCTTCCGAAACCTTTGCAAAAACCTGTACTTCCCCATAAAACCATAGGAAAAATCAGGACAAAACCCAACGGACCCTTGCATGGAGCAGCCTGAGCCCAAGTTTCTGAAACCTAAAGCACTAAAACCCCTTACAGCTAGCGTGAGATTTACACCAGCTAGAAAGCTTAATTCCTAAACCTTGAACCCTTGTAAGTCTTCACAAAACCATCAAAAACTCACATTTCCACGAGTGCAAGAGGCTCAAACCCTAATTCGTAAATCCACAGCCCCAACCCCCAAACCCTGAACCCTAAATCCTAAATCTCATACCCGAAACCCCTGAACCCCTACACCCTGAACCCCTAAACCCTGAACCATAAACCCGAAAACATAGACCCTAAGTCCTGAACCCTGAACCCTAAATCTCAACCTGAAGCCCTAAACCCTGAATTCCTAAACCCTGAACCATAAACCTCTAACTAAGCCCTGACCCATGAATGCTTAGCCCTTCAAAACAACAGCGGCATAACCCTAAACCCTAAACCCTAAAGAGCCCTCAAAACAAAACCCTAAACCCTAAACCCTAAATCCTAAACCCTAAACCCTAAACCCTAAAGAGCCCTCAAAAAAAACCCTAAACCGGCATCCCAAAGCCATGCAGGCTTCCACGAGTGAAGGGCCTCCTAGCGACGAGGTCCTCGCGGATGGGCCCTGCGTAGAGCTCACGGCCTCTTGGCTTATGGGGTTTTAGGGGTTGAGTACCTGGACCCCAAAAGTATTCAGAATAATAGCCTTTTATAGGTTTTGGGCCATTATTTTACCTACTCTTGAGGGTCTAGGTACTAACGTAGGGGTTTGGTGGTGTAGGGATTAGGGCTTAGAGGTTTAAGGTTTAACCCTATCCCTCCAAGGACCTCATAGTTAGGGCCCTAGCCCCCTTAAGGACCCCGTAAGTTTCAGGTCCCTGGAGGCATATAGGGTAAGGATTGGAGGCTCGTTAGTTCAAGAGTCGAAGGTGTACGGTTTAGGGTTTAGGGTTTAGGGTTCAGGGTTTAGGGTTGTAATTTGTGCACGTGTGAAGTAGCATGTTGTGTGGTGACATTGTGGCACAAGTGCTCTAACAGGAAAAGTGCGTAGTTGCCTAATGGTATTGCGCTGCTTGTTAACACTTGGACGGGTATATACAACAGTGCGTGTGTGCAGTGGTTTACAACAACTATAGGTTATCAGCCGTATAGCCTACGGCCTGGTCACAACTGGTTGGTTACAATACAATCAATCAGCGCATGAGCGAACCGGAACTTATTCCTGCAAGTATGGATACAGTTACAAGCACCGTGAACCCTTTACAGCCCCCGGTCACGGGTGGCCATACAGGGAGCGGCGCCCCCGGCTTAGTTTTCCCGGCACCAGCCTCAGTCCAACAATTCAACGTCTTCGCACCACAGTATAGTGTCGAAGTACACGTTAACCAGATCAGACTGGAAGTCGGAGAACTAGAGGCTCAGGCAGAAGCTAGACACAGGCAACACATGCTGACCTATCAAGAAGCATCCGCAATTCACACAGCTGACTTGGAGCACAGAGCAGAACGAAACCACCTTGAAGTGGTAGCAGAACTGCAAGCAGCCTTGGCACAAAGCGAGTTCAAGGCGGCAAATCGCGAAAGGCTCCTGTTGTCGGAAATGACTTTGAGTCAAGCGCATTCCTATGACGAAGATCAAAGGTTGCGTCAAGAACTAGCGGAACTTCAACAAAGCCGAATCACAGACGCATTGGATCAACATTTGGCGGAATCACGCTTTGCACAGAACCTCGAAGAACAGGCGAGACGGCACATTGAGAATTCCCAGGAAGTCATGGTTGAACAGTTCCAAGCACACTTTGAGTTGTTTAGGAACAGGCAGAAAGAAGAGTATGAGGCGTCCCTTGCTGTATGTAGGGAACAAAACGAAGAGCTTCAGGACAGGTTGGATTCTGCGGAAACTGCACTAGAGAAGGTCTTGGATCAGTACAATCCAGCTACTCCAAAGAGTCAGCCAGTGCCTGCTCCAAGCACCCCTGCAGGTCCCTCTGTTGTCCCCAAAGCTCCTCAAGCGCCCATGTTCTCAATGCCGAACGTAATCCCCCAGGTGCCAGATGTCTGTTCGAGTCAATGAATCCAGGAGGTTTGAATGCTCAGTCCATTCCGTCTGCAACAGCATCTTCAATCCCCAAGGCAGGACCTTCCCAGGCAGCGCCAGGAACAGCGGCCCCTCCAGCGGCCGATTCCGGCACGCCAGGGACGGATGCTTTCAACACAGGTCTCCTAGAGACCCAAATGGCAATTCTTCAAAGCCTAAGAAACATAAGGGGTGAGAGCAAAGTCGATGCTGACAAACCCAAAGTGAAAGAAGCAGAGTCCATCAGCCTCCCGGAATTCCCAAGTCCAGAGTCGTATCGTTCATGGAAAACGGCAGCTAGGGAAGCGGTCAGGGCAGCATCAGATTCTCCTGATGAGGCGTTTAAATGGGTGATGAAGGCCTACGACAAAGACGCATCGCAGGAATCCCTTCGAGACCCTGAGAAATTCCTCACCCTTGACACGAAACTTCTTGCTGCACTCACCAAAGTCGCTAGGGGAGAACTCTCCCGAGAAATCCTCATTTTTAAGGAGACAGAAGCGGCGAAATTCAGGGCGGTACGAGGACGACAGGTGCTCTACCTCTTCGATCAGTACTTCAAGACGAACGAGGAGGTTGGCTCACTGTACTCCGTGGAGGACCTGCTGAAAGTAAGGTTAATCAATGACGACCTTTCAGTGTTCATTAGCAACTGGGAATCTGTCATGTCTGGACTTAGCCACACACCGGACGAAACGACCCTAAGAGACATTTTCCTTCGTGAACTCAGGCAGTCCAAGAGGCTAAAGTACGATCTTGAGATTTACGACAGGGCAGCAGAGGGCACGGATCAGCACACGTACAGGTTTCTTGTGAAGTCACTTAAGGATCTTTTGACCCGAGAGCGCAAACGCAAGAACCGTGACCGCATCGCAAGATCTCACGGAGACAAGTACGGTGCCCCTGCCTCAAAGTCTCCTGGCCGAACCTCCAGCCCCTCTTCAAGAGGAGGCGGTGGCAGATCGCAGAGCCCAAGGCCAAGATCACCCAGCAAACGTAGATCCCAGTCTCCCAGCAAGCCTAGGACACCTAGCCCAAAGGGAGTATGCTACGATTTCCTCAAAGGAACTTGCAAGCGAGGCAATAACTGCCCTTTCCTTCACAAGAAGAGATCATTGTCCCCCAAAGGCGACAAACAAAAGAAGAAAATCAACGTGACATGCAAGTTCTGGAAAGAAGGCAACTGCAACAAGGGTGACAAATGTCGGTTCCAGCATAAGGATATAGAGAAGCCGTCAGCTCCCGCACCCAAGTCCGAAGCCGCCCCGGCAGCTCCAAAGCCAGGGTCACCCAGGGCCAACTCTCCTGCTCCGCGCAGAGGGAGAAGTCCCAGGGCTAAGTCAAGTGACAAGGCCCCAAAGACGGCCGCATGCGCCATCGCGTTCGAGAATACAGCGGATCTTGAGATCACGCCAAAGCTCGCTATGGCAGCGTCACATGACGAGGACTACTGGGAGGTAGACTTCACCGGCAACAAAATCATCCGCCATCACAAGAAGTACCGAACGGATTGGTATGTTCCTGACAATTCATGTCCTGTGAACCCCAAGAAGCTTAGGAGCCAAGCTAAGCTCGAGCAGGTTTTGCCGGTCTCCCCTTTTGTTGGAAACAAGATCTACAACTGGAGGAAGACCCCAACCAAAGGACCCGGCAGCACATGGGTAGGTAAGACGATCTTCTACATGCAAGAACTCCCTAAGGTGAGTTTCGACAGCACAGTAGAAATGATTGCCATCGAACCGGAAGGAAAGCAGAGAAAGCATGCCTACCTTCCCAGGGTTTATGATGAAGTCTATCCCACTGTCGAGACATGTCCACGCTCGAATCCTAAGGATCTGAAGAGGGCTCTTGTGTGGGCAAAGCAGTTTGCTACCATGATCGAATGCATGGTTCACGACACGCCTGCGGGATGCGGGTATGAATGCATGGAGGAAGGCTTCCTCTGCGAGGAGTGCGAGCGACTTGCACGTCCGTCATGTGCAGGTCTGGTCCCCGGCTTAGAATTCCTAGCGGATACCGGAAGTGAAGAGGACCTCATCAGCAAGTCGGACTGCAGAACTCACTTCCCCGACGTACCCATAGAACCTGCCTCACGTCCTGTCTCTCTGATCACCGCCAATGGGCCGGTAAAAGGTAATGAAGCCGTTAAGCTTGAGGTCCCCGAAATCAACAAAATCCTCGAATGCTACGTGCTAGATTCAACGCCGCCGGTGTGCTCTGTTGGTAGGAGATGTATGGACGAGGGTTTTGATTTCCATTGGTACGCAGGGAAGACGCCTTACTTCGTGACACCCGAAGGCCGGAAACTTTACTGCAAGCTGCGCGGGCGAGTCCCGGTAATTGGGGATGGTACAATCGCTGTTCCCGCCAAGGATGAGAAAGCGGCTCATTCGCCAGTCATCCAGGCAACATCGGGTTTTCCCCGTTCAGCGGCCTACTAAGGCACGCCAATGCAGCAGAATCCGAGCCGGAAGGCGAATCCTCGGGCAGTGGCCTCGACCCCAGGATCGAAAAAGCACTGAAAGAGGCTGCTCCGTTAGGCATAAAGGCGGAGTACTTGAACAAACCAGGTTGGGTTTCGCATCCTTCCTTTCCACAGATGATCGTGGGGCACTTTCCCAAAACCTTTAGAACGCCTGCTACAAGGTTTCCAAAGCACGTCATCCGGAGTACTTGGACTTATGTCAAGAAATGGCAGGAGATCGAAAAAGACGTGGATGTAAGGACGTTGGACAATCGGGTAGCCAAGCTCCCTTCTGATGCCTGCATTCTCAGTGTAACGATCTTTAAAAGACCTGTTGATGACCCCGAGCCGGAGCCTGACAGCGAAAGAGAAGCTGAAGCTGACCCAAAGGACGAAAAACGTTCAGCCCAGCTCAAGCTGCAGGCCAATAGCCCGGAGCACAAATTCACCCACCGTCCTAAGAACCCTTTCTGCAAGGTATGCCAAAAGGCCAAAATGCTAGCGCCACATGCCAGAAAGCGAGGGGGGAGCTCCACTATCTTTTCGAAGAAGTTCGGAGACCACGTGACAATTGATCACATTGTGACCAAGGACTTGCGTGATTTTGGGATCGAAGGTGAGAAAGTTGCTCTTGTGGTTAAGGACGTGTTCACTAACTTTCGTTATGTGTACCCTGCAGGTACGAAGGAGTCGGAAGAGGTTTATGATTGCCTGTTGCACTACTTCGCTGTAGATGATGAACCAGGGATTATTTACTCCGACAACGCCCCCGAACTCAAGAATGCTACTGGAAAATACAAAGTTCGTCACAACACCTCACGACCTTACGTTGATGAGAGCAAGTCTGTTGTTGAGAGAGAGATTCGAACTGTGCTCGAGGGCACACGGGCGAACTTGCTGCAGGCAGGACTTCCAACGAAGCTCTGGCCCCTGGCTGCTCAACATCACACTATGGCTCTAAACTTGTCCAAAAGGATGGACACCGCGAAGATCCCATGGGACGAAAGGTTCGGTGAAGGGTTTAGCGGTAAGCTCATTCCTTTTGGTGCCAAGGTTCTTTATTGGAACAATCCCAAAGAGAACATTACAAATGCATCTAAG